AATTGTTTGACCATCATGGCAAATTCCTCTTCGTAGTTCTCCATTTTTGAGCTTGACGGCTGGCTGGAGGAAGGTGTGTCACAGTTTCTTGTGCATGTCCCTTCACTTGATGGAATTCTTGAAGTTGTCATCAATGCCGTGGGGAAGGGAGTGACTTGTTCTTCCTTCTTCTTTTTCAGCTCGTGCTCATAGGTTCTGAGTTCATCAAGGAGACCTTGAACAGTGTAGTTTTCCAGGTTTCTTCCTTCTTCCATGGCTGTGGCTTTGGTGTACCACTCAGTTGGGAGTGATCTCAGCAACCTTACATTCTTTTCTTTGGGAGAAAGAACGTGGTTAAGTGAGGCAAGATCATTCAAGATTTTGTGGAACCTTTCATCCAACATATCAAATGATTCTCCGGGAAGCATTTTGAATCCTTTGAACTTCTCAAGTAGGACTTCTATCTTCTGCTTTCTCAAGTCCTCTGATCCCTCACATAGCTTCCCAAGACCTTGCCATATCTCCATGGCAGCCTTGAGATGCTTGATTTTGGAGAAGGTGATGGGATCAAGTGTCTTGAAGATGGCTGCTTTGGCGACGTTGTCCAGATTGTGCTTTTTACAATCTCTATCATCCCATTTTTCCTTGGGCTTTGGAATGTACTGGATCACATCAGGAGTTGCTGGATTCCTCTCAGGATTCTCCATTTGGATTTTTAAGGGTCCATCCTCAAGCACCATCCATATGCAGTCATGTAGAGCGTAGAGATGTGCTTCCATCATGATCTTTCAATCATCATAACCTAAGAGAAAAAACTTGGGCAAACCGTGATCCATATTGTTCACCATTATGATCGCTTCTCGTTAATCTAAACGTAGATAGTGAGAAGTTTGCTCCGATACCAATTGGTGGTCCCAAAGTGGTGAAATACAAAGTCTAGAGGGGGGGGGTGAATAGACTTTGTTACAGATTTAAAATCTTTTTCGTTTCTTTTGAAAACATGAAAATGAGTGTTAATCTAGAGTCCTTGTGAACTTTAGATTGTGTGCGGAATTTGGTGGGTAGAGTGAGCAGTAATCAATATGGATGGGTTAGTTTTCACAGTTAATATAATTGCAAGTAAGAATAAAGATAAAAGAGAGAGACACGCAAACTTTAACGAGGTTCGAAGGTGGGGTAATCCTTCTACGTCCTCAAAATTCACTATGTAGTTGGTTGTTGAATAATGAACCAACAATTACACTTGTGTGAATTTCTGCACGGTATATCTTCACAAGACCAATGTTGCTACTGCACTCGTGCTGGCTTTGTTGTTCCTTCGAAGGTCAAGCTTCTTCAACAACTGCAAGGTCCGAACAATAGGACTTGCAAGATCAACTTGTAAGAGAGTTGACCTACCCCCTTTTAATCAATAAGTTTGATCAAAAGTAANTGTCTCTGGCATTTCCGATCAAGATATCCAATTTCCATATCACTGAATTTGATTAGGTCTTCAGGCATCAAAACGCTTAAAGAAATATCACAACCTTATTGGAAATCTCAAGAACTTGGTTTTAACAATATTTCTAAAAAGAAAAATTACATTGAATATTGGGGGAGACCTAAAGTCCCTATTACATTCTAAATACATCATCATCAAAATCTATGATATTTTTCCCAACATCCTCTCGATCATCTCTTTCCCACACTGCCTTCCGACGCTTCCAGATCCTTAACCTTGCTATCTGAGCCTTGCGATGTGCACGTTGGTAGCGCTCTCTCGAACCGTAATTTTGCCTCTTGTTCTTTCGTCTCGTACCAAGCACGAAAGTTCGACTGGAGTCAATGCTTGACACGCTATTGGTACTAACAGTACTAATCTAACAATTGCAGAGTATCAAAATGTTAACGAGTACTTGGAAGTGAATAACACAATTAGCTTGATGCTTCGATGTGCGCTCACGTGCTCAGGCACTCCTATGTGGATCTGCATGTTCGTGATTCGCTGTTGACTCACTTTATAAAAGAAGAGTTTTCTATAAGGCATAATAATAATAATAATAATAACTTAAATGATAACTGTTACCTTCCCGGATGGAGATGCGAAGGGGGATGCGACGGTGGATCCTGAAGAAAATGTTTTCAAATTGGGTTTCAAAATCGTTTTTAAAACCAAATTCTTTGATACCAAAATGTAACACCCTCTGTCCCGCGAACCCGGTTCGCCGTGGCCCAACGAGCCGGAGGGGTTACGTAGCCAGGTTTTTAAGACCGTCTACGGGAAACTCCTTAAATTACTTTTGCAACCGGAAAACCTTTGATATAATTAATAAAACTGCTGGGGAATTAGTTCCCTTAAAAATGATTCATGGTGCAATAACGGAAACAAACGTTGAGTCTTAAACGAAGTAAATGCAACAACGGTGGATTCAAGCCCAAAACAGTTTATAAAACTAAATGGAAAATAAGTCGGGTCCACATCATCACCTATCCACCGCCCCGATCTCCCAATCATTCGAGTCAGGCTCCATGATCATCTTGCCTACCTGCGTATAGCAAAAACAATGCTATACGCTTAGCATAATGTGAGTGGTAATCTAACAGTTGAACGCATAATACAATTTAACATTGATATAAACATAATCGTACATATACTAAAGTACAAGATACCTTTTTAAATTTTGATAAATAAGAATTGCAATAAAAGAATAATGCAATTCCAAATAAACCATGATGCATGAGTTAGACTGCGCAGGGACCCCCCTGCCCTTCGATGATCATCCCCACGCGGTGAGGCGCACTAGGCCAGGCCTCTTGTCGTGGTATGCAAAGTATGCCATGATCCTAAAACATGCGTCTAGGATATACATGATTATACGAATGCATCGCTTGAAACAAGGTTGAGTTCAACGAATACATATAGGTTTGATTCCGTATAAAGATTATTTGTTTCTCAACATGATGGCCCTGGGTTCAGAACTGGCTAATAATTGATTATTCATTGATGATAATCGATTATAAGGCATGTCAGTTCCTATCCCATGGTTCTACGGCCTCTGATATTCGATTGTCACCTTGGGATAATCCATTGTAAAATTGGTCTGTCCAGGAACCCAAGTTCAGAGAGGCCTGATAATCGGTTATTGCTCTGTGATAATCGATTGTCACACTTCGCTGATCTAAACGAGAAGTCCAGTGTGGCCTGCTAATAGATTGTCATGTCATGTTAAATGATTATTAGAGCACGCAAGTTCCCATTTTGTCCGTCTAATTGTAATCAAAATGTAGGAAGTTTGAAATAAATGTTTATGTTTTTACGTGAAGAAGTTTATGAATTTAAGGGGTTCCAAAATGATCACATTAACGAGTTCGTAACCAAAATTTTCTTAGTAACGGAAAAGCCATGATAATGCGGACACACGTAGGTTTAGCTAGGTAATCATATGAATATAATAATATGAATGAACTATGAGTTCTAAAGTTAGAGGGAAACGTACTCACCTCTAAACGCATGGGTTGATGGAAAGTAACGGGATGAATGAACGGACGACAAACGTACAGACAAACCACGAATGACGAACGACCTCACGCACAATGGACGAACCTCCTTCATTTCTTCCTTTTCCTCGTTTACACGCCGGAGTGCCTCCCTTGCCTAGCTGCTGGCCAAATCATAAGAGAAGGGGGGAGGAGGAGAGTTGTGAGGATTTTTATGGAGGGTCGAAGTTACAAGAATGATGAGGGAAATGAAGGGAGAAAGGGGCTTATAATGAAAGGGAATAATGGAGAAATAATGATGGGAGTAAATGGGATGAAGGTGGCGTCTGAGTTTAATTGGGGAGTTACCTCCCAAAAGTTCACTCCGTTGTGTAAAATCTGACCTGAACAGTACGCGTTC